AATTACAATCATGTTAAGTGACCTTTACTGTATATAAAGCTCATTGTGATACAGATCTAAATTGTGGAAGACAGTGATTCTTCAGTTGTTTGCACGAGAAGTAAATAGAGGATATTCATTGTTTTGTAGTTGAATATGGATTTTTTTCACGAGTGGGACAGAATGTTTGATATTTTCACGAGTGCAAATTTTCTGTTAATTACATAAAAAAAAAGAAATCTTTGTTTTTCCCTTTGCCTCTGTCTTTTTGTAATACAGCCCTAGGCTGGTGATGTCATAGTTGGGCGGTTGAGACGTCATATCTAAGTGGGGGTGAATATCCTGTTAACATGGATTTAGCAACATACTTTTCGTAACTTTGACATTTTTATTTACTGCAGTTAAAACAAATAGTCTGTAATTGTTTATCCAAAATGTGAAAAAAGGACAAAAAAATTATATTTTTCCAATATTTTTGGGTACGTCTATTTTTAAACATGTGTTACTACAAATAGAAATGGAAAACACTGCTTCTCATTTTGTTTTTGATATAAGGCTTTCTTTTACTTGTTGGTCACCATATGCCAATAGCAGTTAAAAATAGATACCGGTAGTCAACACTTATTCATCCCAAATTTAGAAGAAAGTACAAAGAACGACATTTTTCCGATATTTTGCATCACGTCTATTTTTAAACCTGTGTTACTATAAATAGAAATGGATCTGCTTATCATGCTGCATTCCATTGAATGTTCTTTTGTTATTGTCAGTCACATTATATCAGTTACAGTTAATGACAGTAAGTCGGAAAATTTCCCATCTCTATTTTGAGAATCAGTGGAAAATCAACATTAATCAGTTAATTTCATATGTGTCTTTTTTTTTTTAGACATTTGTACTATTTATAGAGATGAGAGCCTGTCCTCAATAATTTGTGAAATATAATAATATTCCTTGTTCTTATTGATGAAATATTGGGGAGATCCAGATTTTTATTATTTATGATTCAGTGGAGCTTCAAAATGATGGAAAATTGATATTTTTCATCATTTTATGAAACATGTCTATATTAAGACATTTGAAGCTATAAATAGAAAACGGAAATCCCTGGAAATAATATGCATGGTAGTTATTGGTGTCCAGTCTCTGACATTAGCATATTGACTTTTACAATATATTTCATAATCACCTAGCAATGGCATCTTAAACTCTGCCCAAATTTCATTTTTTTGATTTTTTCTGAAATATGTCTATTTTTAGATACACGTTACTTAAAATAGCATTGAGATCCCACTCCAATTTTTTCATGAGGGGACACTACTAATACTGACGTTTGACCACACGCATGATTCGAAAAATTTCCGTAGACATTTTTTTTTATTTAACCTTAAATTTCTCAAAAAATGCAAAATTTTCCCTTTTTCACATTTTGAAAAACTACGCTATTTTGCAGAACCGTTTTCTAAAAGTGGGGTCAATTCTGGAATAACTGGTTATATGCTCTGTATTCTTTAACAGTTGATGTTTTCTTATGATACAAAGATCTATATTTGAGTTCACGACATAAAGATAAAAATGCATTCATATTTCCTCAATTTTCATGTTTTTGTTTGGTCAAAAATGGCCGAAAATAGCCAAATTCAATGGATCATCCGTCTCCATGGCAACCGGGTTCACGTGGGAAACTTCTAACACCATATTTGTTGGTTCTATATCAAGGTGCACCTGTGGTGCAAATTTCATCAAAATCGGAGATATGCCGTTTCCAAGATTTTTTGGTGCTTACAAAGAATGCATGTTAAGTGTTACAGAATATTTCCTTTTGTAGCTCAAATTCTCGAGATGCTTGATGTTCAATAATGAAGAATAAGGAGATAACGAACAGAATTGTATATCAAAGTCATTAAAACAATACAAAATAGGAGCAGAGCAAACACAGACCTCAAAAACATCAGAGGTCGGATACCATGGAGGAGTGAGCATACCCTGCCAACCGGTCACACAAGCTGTGTGCTCATTGTCATGATCGGGAAAGAATGGATAAAATTTGTAGTCGTCAAGGTATAAATAATGGTCTATTAATTAATATGAAAAACGTCAGCATTTGACTAAATGATTAATTGTATTTGCTGACAAGGTTTTTGAATCGACCATAGAACTTACAAAATTATGTCTTTAAACGAGACTACTGATATTCTAATATGTCAATAATTTATCTCGTTTTAGAAACTGGTTATACATAGAGCATATTCCTGCATTTCAAATCAACTGAGATATATAAACACCATATACAGGCGATGAAGGTATTTTGCTGCATAAGTAAGAGAAGTTGAGGAAAGAAAATTTAAGGTTGTTTCGTTTATCATAAAGATTGGGTGTTAGATTATCATTAACGTCATTTACAAATATAAAAAGTATGAAGCAGAAGTGTCAGACTCGGTGATGTCTTTTGTCTCAAGCTCCCTACTATATATCGTATCGACATAGGAATGGAATTTGCCATTGTTAATTGACAATGAGTCGTCAATATATCTAAATGTTGAGTTGAAGGCTACTATATTTTTTTTTCTTTTTATGCATAAGATTTTGCACATTTTCTGCTTCATATGAATACACCATTAGGTCTCTACTTATAAAAGAGCGCAAGAGGTACCCATTGGAATCCCAATAGATTGTTGGAAGACATTATCACCAAAAACCACATAGATATTATAAATCAGGAACTCAAGCATCTTCTTGATATCAACTTCAGAGTGCTTGTGTGTACAATCAGAATGTGTTTAAACTTAATAATTTTGCAATTGACATATGACCATTTATCTTGGTTTAAAACTTCCATTTAAAAAAAAACACTGTGATGATATCAGAAAGCCTGGAATTTAATATATCATGGGGAATGGTTGTTTATAAAGTTAAAAAAAAGTCGTAAGTTTTAAAGCTGTTGATTGTTGTAAAATATTGTGATTTTTGAACTGACCAAAAGTTCTTGGAATTTTTAAATATCTTTATCTGATTCACGCCACTACTTGAATGTTTTTTGGCACTTAACTCTTGACGTCTCTCCTTCACTAGTGTCAATATCTTAGTGGGAAGTAAAGAAAAAGGCTTCGTGACAGTTGAACATTTACTGGAACTTTTTTTTGTAAGGATTCCAATGAAGTGTCCGAATCCAATATATATCCGATCAAAATAATTTTGTTTGTTCGGGGTATTAGGCATATTCAAAACTGACAGGTGATTTTGAAGATTTTTTTCCTGAAGAAGGGAAGTATGAGTAGAATATGAATTACCACTTGTAAAATTAAATCAAATTTCTTCAAAAATACAATTTATATAATGGGCCTTACAAACGAAGACAATGTTGTTACCTGCTTTTGTCATCAGGGACTAGTAATCTAACTTATTCGTTTTTCTTATAATTCATTAACTTGTTTAATTTATGTAATTTTCTATTGGCAGCCCTTAGATATCTTAATTATTATTTTATTTTGGGTTAACGTTGAAATGTCTTTATATGTCGTATTTGTCTATGTGTATTGTTTAGTATGAGTGTTGTGAGCGTGTTTTTCTAGGTTTTTTTCTTTATATCCACCAATGAATAGTTAAACATCAGAACACGTTTTGTACTATTCTACAAACAAGACCATATTCCTGTGACAGTATCTTTTACTTTTTTAAAGATAATCTTTTTTAACAATCTGTTAAAATCCATGAATATCATATTTTTGTGTTCATCTAAGACGGGATGTATTTATTTTTTTATGTGAAGAAACCACTTGATTTGGCATTCAACTTTACATTTCGATATATTGACGAGTTTTCATCAATTAACAATTAATACTACCATTCATATGCTAGTCTATATATACCAATGAGCTTATGAGAAAAGGAACAAGAAGAAAAATTATTAAATATCTGTTTCATATGTGAATATTTTACATGTATAAGAATAAAATTCTAGCATTTTTATGATAAACGTAATGGCTTACATTTGAAATTATCAATTCAGTAAACAAAAATTAAAACAAATGAAATATGTGGAAATAACGAACAGTACTTTAGCTCAAAAATCCATTAAACATTTCAAAATAATAACAGAACAGTCACAGGCCTCAAACATCAAAGACGGGATCAAGTTTCATGGAAGAGTAATATTATACAATTAATTACCCCGTTTGAGGTCAACATGGTGAAATAAGGACCCGAGACCTTGCCAAGGAGGTGACCTGATCTGACCGATTCCGCCTAGCGGCCGAGGTCATGGCAGGTCATCGAGTGGGCCAGGTCAACTCCGTCTGTCTGTCTTTGACTTGAAAATTATTTATTTCCAATTTTTCTAGCAACATCAAATTTTATGGTATACCCAGTACCACAATTAATCTACACAGAAACAAATAGCCAAACTACAACCTCGGAAAAAGGACATTGTATTAACCGATTCTTGGCCAACGCACTCACCACTGCAAAGTAACACAAGGATCTACCGTTTCTTTTCAGCAGAACCCCAATAAACCTATATAGGTACCATCAGCTACCTATCATATTAAACTTCTTGTAATTAATCCTTTTTTTCATGATTTTCATGTACATACTTTATTATACCCCCGCTTGAAAAGTGGAAGGGTATATAGTAATCGGTATTGTCCGTTCGTTCGTCCGTCCGTCTGTTACGCTTTGGGATACCCATCTGTTATTCGCAATTCCTATTATACCACTGAGTGAAATTTATTGAACCTTTCACAGAATTTTATTACATATTGCCATCGTGCACCTTCTATTTTACTTTTTGATCTGACACATATTTTGGGTTTCCCGGCGTCAACAAAACATGGACTTTTCCATTATAATTATCGGGAGGCTGGGTATCATTTAATGAGCTCATTGCTCTCAGTACCTCTAGTTTTTAATTATTCAACAAAAATATCACATGATAAAATAATGTTATATTTCGTGGAACGAAAGGCACGAAAGACACACACTGCAGGACATTCTCTACACATTGCACAATAAGTCCTACTCACCACTCCAACTCACCACTCCCCTGATTGATTAGAATCTTAAGCTGTACTCCCTTCAGAAATATGTAGGCATCACAATCTTGGATCCCAGAGTCCTTCCTTGTATAAAGCTGATATTGCGCATGCGTGGAACAAATCAAATTATCATTTATATGGATATTGTTTGCAAGCCTGAGTGCAGTATGAAGCAATATTCAACACAGCAATAAACTCTCTGTTTCAGTGTGTCTCCTCATGTAAGTTCGTCGCCTCGTTTTATAAAGTATAAGTGTGAACATCCGTTAATTTCTACGTCAAGTATTTTGAACTGTTGACAAACAATACATGGTATGTAAAACATCATTTATCCGTTCCTGTTACTCAAACACTTAAACAAAAATCACACAATATCTTTTTCAACTCTTTAATATTTATTAAATATATATTGTCTTTACCTTTTGTCTTTATCTATATTTTTATTTGCCTCTGTGAGTACACACTTTAAACTAGATTATAATGTACATCATCTTCTATTAATGACAGATACTGTAAAGGGGGGAAATAACTCGCGGTGTTAATATTCGCTATATTCACGGTGCTTACAAATCCGTGAATTCAAGAAACGGTGAATAAATTTTCAATAATCTCCATGTTTTATTTGGAAATTTGAGAATAGACTACGATATATTTATATAGGTGTACGTGCAGTCCATCGTCATTTCAGTAATTGCGAGTAGTACTGTCATTCAATTAATTTTAATTATCACGCTTTACTTTAATTGAATTCGGCAGATAATAATTTGTGTTTGTTCAAAAGCTGTTTTAATAGCCAACGCTACATGTTTCATCAATCAAAACATTTGATTACCCGTGCGTAACTAATGTTACCACGTGTATTTGTTACCTGCAATCTCATGCATATTAGTTCATGTAGTTTTTATCGACATTTTGGTTTAAAAAATCATTCAAATAAATATCGAACTTACTGACGAAGGATGTGTAGAAGGATATTATTTTGTAAAACTACATAAAAAGTTTTTTTTTTCTTTCCGTCCAGTGGTTTTTCGCCGAGTGGTATTGAATATCTCGGGTACACATGCACTCATCGTCATAGCATATAAGAGAGTCGTTTAACGTTTTGGGACTTTTTTTTAATCTGCACTTGTAATAATTAATTGTTTATAAATTCTTACAATTTTATAATAACTTACTCTGTTGTTCGTGAAATAAAGACATAACGCTGATTAATGTCGTTTACATGTAGCTATGGTATGGATTAAATGGAGACAAGGGAAGTAACTTTTAATTACATACATGTACCAAATTCCGCGAATTCAAGAAACCGCGATCGTGTCAGATGAGAGAAAAACGTGAAAATTACAACCCGTGAAATTAATCCCCTATACAGTAGTATTCATCTTTTCCCCCTTCAAGTGTACCTGGACTTATCATTCAGTTAGAATACAATTACATGTAACAACGATAACAAATATAGATACATTTTCCCCTTGCATCAGCTTAATACGGTTCAGTGTATCGTTTTCAACAAATTATATTGCTAAAACAACATATCTTTATAACTGATGACTAACTTCCTGATACAAGTCATGTTTCAAAACCCTTTTACGTGAAATGATTCATTGTATAAATTGTGCAGAATGTCTCTAAATACTAAAGTAAGAATGAAAACTTGCCACGGTCTACTTACGTATGTGTAGAGAACATGTAATGGTTAAGGGCCTTGTCTGCTAGACGCAATAGTGTTAACATAAAGGTTGCGTAAATGTAAGGTCAGCAATACTGTAAATTCCTAATTATACGCGAGGAATTAATTTCCGCGTAATTTCGCGAGAAGCGTCGCTCGCGAAAAAATATAACTTGCTTTTATTTTTATGGTGCTGAAATCTACGAAAATTCTGTTGATCAACCCTCCCTTCGCGAATTATAATTCTTGCGATTTGACGCAAAAGACCCAGTTCGCGATAAAAAAGTACTCGCGAAAAAAAAGGAATCCTCAGTATTTAGGAAATAGCTGTATATAGTGAAAGATCAATGATCGCTGCTGACTTCGAATAACCTAATTATTTAATTAGTTAACAATAAAGGAATTGACGCGGTAAATATTAGGAATATTCTTAATCACAAAAGGGTCCAGTCTTATATTCCACCATATTTCAAGTTAAAGACTACGCCTTGTATTTCCTACAAATGTACATCGACCATTGCTTCCAAACTTTTCAATTACAAAAATACTTTACATGGCCTGGATATCGACTATCTGAAAAATAATCCCCTTTCGTTTTCATGTTCTTCTTCGCCCTATAACTATAGTCCTGCTGGACACGTTATTACAGGTGACGTAAATATAGTTCGTAATGAGGATCTTAGATCACTTATTTTAAAAGGTCCTAAATATAGGGAACCCGGATCCTTCAACTGGCGTCAGAATTTCATAAATATTATGGATTCTGTTGAAAATTACGCCAGACGATGGGCTAGATATGAAAAAGAAGACATTGACACCTTGTCAGAATGGATTAAATGTATCAGATCATGTTAAAGTCACGTATTAAAAGATTGAGGGGCAAAATGAAAACCATCTATCCTTCTGTGTTCAATAAACCAGAAGTGAAAAAAGAATTAGATAGATTACACGATCAGTACGTACTGGTTCCTGCCGACAAAGCAGGTAACAACATTGTCTTTGTTTGTAAGGCTCATTATATTAATTGCAGTTTAGAAGAACTTGGATTTAATTCTATGAGTGGTAATCCTACTTATACATATACTACTCTTTCTAAGGAAGAAATTCTTCAAAATCACCTGTCAGTTTTGAATACTTTTAATATTCCACAGAGCCAAAATGAATTTGAACTACCCTATATATATTGGATTCCGAAACTTCATAAGAATCCTTACAAACAAAGATACATTGCAGGTTCCAGTATATGTTCAACCAAGCCTCTTTCGTTACTTCTCACTAAAATATTGACAGTAGTGAAGGAAAAACTTCAAGAGTACTGTACAACTATATATTCAAGAAGTGGTGTAAATCAGATGTGGATACTTAAAAATTCTAAAGAACTTTTGGACTATTTGAAATCACAAGACTTTACAAAAATCAACAGCATAAAAACTTACGACTTTTCAACTTTATACACAACAATTCCGCACGACAAATTAAAATCCAGGCTTTTTGATATCATTGACAGCTGCTTCTTCAACAAAAATGGAACTCGTAACTTTACTTACCTCGTCATTGGTCATTTGAAAAATTATTTTGTTAAAACAGATTCTGATTGTACACATAAGTACTCTGAAGTTGACATCAAGAAGATGCTTGAGTTTCTGATAGACAATATCTATGTGGTTTTTGGAGACCAGGTATTCCAACAATCTATTGGAATTCCCATGGGTACAAATTGCGCTCCATTATTAGCAGACTTATTTTTATATTCATATGAAGCAGAATTTATGCAAAATCTTTTGCGTGAAAAGGAAAAAAAACACTTGCTGTGGCCTTCAACTCGACATTTAGATATATGGACGACGTATTGTCAATTAATAATGATAATTTCCATTCCCACGTCGACACGATATATCCTGGTGAGCTTGAGATAAAAGATACCACAGAGTCCAACACATCTGCTTCATACTTGGATATTTTACTTGAAAAAGACACAAATGGTAATCTAACAACCAATCTATATGATAAACGTGATGACTTTAAATTTTCTATCGTCAACGTCCCTTACTTATGCAGCAATATACCTTCATCACCTGCATACGGAGTATTTATATCTCAGTTGATTCGATACGCAAGAGCATGCTCTACGTATGAACAATTTCTTAAACGAGGTAAATTATTGACAAGCAAGTTGATGAAACAAGAATATCAACAGTCTCGTTTAAAGTCATCATTTCGTAAATTCTATGGTCGATACGATGACCTTGTCAGCAAATACAATTTATCATTGAATGAAATGCTGACTGACGTTTTTCATACCAATTGTTAGTCCATTATTTATACACTGAATTGACTACGGATTTTTCCGTTATTTCCTGATTATGACAATGAGCACACGGCGGGTGTGATCGGTCAGCAGGGGATGCTCACTCCTCAATGGCACCTGATTCCACCTCTGATGTTTCGGAGGTCCGTGTTTGCTCTGCTCTTGTTTTGTATATTTGTTTAATGGACGTTGAGATTGGGTGCTGTTCGTTATTTCCATATCCTTATATTAACACTATTTGAAGTCAAAAGTTACGATATCGCCTGTCTTTGTTTACCCAACTCCACAGCAATATCGGATTCAAAGGGAAATGCAGTTTTAGGCCAATCTGTTGTTTTCAAAACCTTATTCACATCAAAAGAAGATTTTTTATAACTCTAGTGATTGAAAAATATTTTGCTCTTGTAAAACGGTAAAAACTATTGTCCTCTGACCTCTAAAATAACATTCACACAGAATTGAACGCATTATCCCTTCAATAGGTTCATCTCAGAAAAGAAAAGAAAAATATTTGTAAATATAACAAAATAAGCAATACTAATGAAATCACTAATTAAATATAAAATATAATTTCGTCACATTGCATACAGGATATTCGTTCTCTGGGTCTGGTTTAAGCTTATGGTACATGTACTACCATCACGTGTTGTCAACGAGATTTGTTAAAACAATTACATTACTACACCGTTTTCAAGTACACCCAGTCTGAATTTATGCATCTAGGGAATATATTGCACCTCGACATGATGAGTTGTTGTTTGTTCACTACTTTAAATGAAAATGTCAAAGTTGGGGGTTTGTACCGAAGAAATACTCGTGTATCTGAAAGATTGTATAATGAGGAGACTGTCCTTGACTCTCCATTAGATTTAGTCTGAGCAGTTCAATATAATCTGCAAATATTAAAATTATCGTTGACAATACATCAACATAATCTATAAAGATTACAATCATTCACAAGTCATCAACATTTCAACATAATCTATAAATCTTTAAATCGATGTTGACAATACATCAACAGTTCAAAATAATCTATAAATATCTAGATCAATGTTGACAAAACAATTATTGTAATTTCTAAAACAATAAAATACGCACTTAAATACATGATCTTTTTCAAAAGATGTCACTGAACAAATAACTTTTTATTGATCTTATTGAATATATAATGACATAGATTTTTATTTTTGTGTCTGTTTGGTTATATTTGACTAACATATTTATTAAGTAAATGTACAATGTTTGTTTGGGTTTTGTGAGGTTTGACTACAGCACGCTCCTCTTTCTTTACCTAAAAATAACTGAGCCGCCATGAGGCTATACATGCTATTGTATATACTAACTGTCTTTCATAAAATTAGGTAAAATAATTCCTAATCAATAAGTTTGTCATAATTATAAGTTCTTCAGTAGTTTTACATAGTAGCATAGTTACAAACGCTTAAATGTGGTATTGTAACTTTTAAAATTTGGTATTATGTCTTCTCCAATGCCAATGCTTGTCTTTATAATCTCCATGTTTAAAACTTTTAAA